TCTCTCCTCCCTCTCTCCCGTTCCTCCTCACTCTGTTGCTCCCCGCCTACCTATCTCTCTCCATCCTGACCTCCTTGTGCTCCTCCCCGCTCGCCCTTCCCGCTCGCCCTTCCCTTCCACTGCAGCTTCAGCTTGAGACAGGAGAACTTAGGACATACTTCTCAAAAAGCTGGTTAAATCCGAACTCAATAGTGTTCAACTGCTTCTGCTGTACCTCCTTGTGCTCCCCCCCCCCCCCCCCCCCCTCGCCCTTCCCTTCAACTGCAGCTTCAGCTTGAGACAGGAGAACGAGGGAAGGTGGATATCCTCTGGTCTATGGAGGTACTGATTTCGCATGCCTATTAGGATGTTTCGGAGTGTTTTGCTCTGGTTTCCCCAAGGAAATGTCTTCTGGGTTCTCCTTGTATTGTATCCTCCCCAGGAGCTCCCCCTCTCACTCGAATCATCCCGCCTTCCTTTCGTTACTATCACGTGACTCTGTCTCACTCCATATTACTATTCCTTAACATTCTTCCCGCCTGTTCTCAGTTGGAGCCAGCACCCAAACTACTTTGGAGAGATCCTCCTCTGGTTCGGCCTCTACCTTTTGACCTTCTCTGGTCTCTCCCCTGCATATCGCCTCATATGTGAGCCTTTTCTTTTTAGCCGACTCAAAAGGCGCCTCGAAAGGTACCTATGGTTTGGCCTCTACCTGTTCACCTTCTCGGGCCTCTCCCCTGCATATCGCCTCATATGTGAGCCTTATCTTGCTCCGACCTTTCTTTGTTCTATTCCATGCACTGGCATTTTGTCGTTTCCACGGTTCCTTCAAATCGTTGTCCTTTGTAGTTCCGCGTTTCCGCCTCGTCTGTGCATCTCATCCAATACAGAGTTGACTTTTGAGTCGACTCAAAAGGCATCTCATCCAATACAGAGTTGACTTTTGAGTCGACTCAAAAGGCATCTCATCCAATACAGAGTTGACTTTTGAGTCGACTCAAAAGGCATCTCATCCAATACAGAGTTGACTTTTGAGTCGACTCAAAAGGCATCTCATCCAATACATGCTTCACCTAGTAATGCATGGGACATGTTTTGGTGGCCTTTTTAGAAGTCTTACGGAGCCACATACATGGGACCTGATCTTGTGGTTCTTCACAATTCTTGGAAACCAGATGCCTGGGACCAGCCCGGGGGGGTGATTGCATGCTCCAGTTTAATGATGCCACCTTCTACAGCCACATATACCTACGAATCCTTCCTGTCCCAACTTGTTGTTGTCACCATCCCACGTGATCGCAGGCCTTGCGAGCCCTCTCTTCACACTCTATGCACTTGTGCGCATGAGCGGGGTACGTTTCCTGCCCTTGGCCTATGGAAAATAATGTTGCGTATCTCCTCACCTCAAAGTGTCGTCCCCCCTCGTTATTGAGATTTCCTACTTCTTTCTGCAGTCTAAAGCATGATTTTTGCTGCGAGTCGTTATCTCCAAGTATTGTTAACTCCCCAGCCGCTTTTACCCAAGTTAGCTCTTTTGAATATCATTCACAAGCTTCCCTCGTCCCCCTCCCTCTCCCCTTTTTCGCACAAGCTTTCCCCTTTCTCGTTTCCTGGACTTGCTGACCGACTTTTGAGACCACACTTCACACCAGCGGTGTAGAAAGTAGATGTGGGGGGAAGATGCATCGTAGATGTGAGCTCTTTTTGAGACGTCTACTTTCTACACGTGACTTTTGAGACCACACTTCACACCAGCGGTGGGGGGACGATGCATCGTATATCGAGCGTATCTCAAGTCACCTCCGTTCTCATTCCCTCCATTACCACCCAACTCTCTCTTTCAGATTCCCTTGTTGGACAAGGCGTCGCAGCAACGGTGGGGGAAAGATGCAGCGTATCGAGCGTATCGCGAGTCAACCTCCGTTCTCATTCCTTGGCCGTGGATGGTGAAAAACACCCATGTTCATAAGCACACTCATGCAGAATGACATGTCTATAATTACTATCTGTACAGTGTCCTTCCATGGGTAACAAACAAAAGTTGGATAGTGTATTTTCAATTTGAGTATGGTTGCTAGCTATAACTGGTTTCATAAAATTCCGAAGCAGTTGTAACTTGTATGAGTCGAGCAACCAGGGGGGAGGGGCAATGGAGCAGCAGCAGGCTACACTGGGGTGATGTGATGGCGTGATCAGTGATATGCCTCCTCTTCTCCCTCGGCCTCGCATAACAACATATACGGTACGTGAACAATAACGCATTTGTGATGAAATATAAAGGAATGGGGGTGATCCCTTTTCTTGAGGGCATAGAACAGTACAGAGTGTGCCGTGCATACTGTGGATCGGATTTAGTTGGAGAACTAGTTACATTTTCATCAAAGCCCGTGTCAATGCTCAAGCTTTCGAATACTACTAGCGTATGAAAAGTTTTGGAGTTGCACACTTATGACTAGAACAGCAGCTGCCTCACTTACGTCGAGGAGCCAACCAGGCGTGACAGGCCAAGAATGCTGTGGATTCAACTCGTATAGTTCAATCAAGCACTGGCATATTGTGCTGGTTTAAATCCATAATGTTTTTGACTCTCTCTCCATTGTCATAGTTCTGTCGGTCCAAGGTGCTGTCACGTCAGCTCTTTACGAAGAATGGGTTGCGTCACCATTCCAAGCCAGCGCGAACCGGTGACGCGAGCCTTGGGGTTCGGTTCGGGCGGGTCTCTCAACACCACTAAAATCCAGTATGTCAAGCCAGCTACCCAGCCGCAACAATTGCCCTTCAGCCAATCATGAATGATTTTTTGGGGCTAGGACCAAGCTAACTCTCAGGCTCGCCTCCGACAAGACGACACTTCGTTCACCAAGCCGCACGCCACAGGATTGGTGGGGGCAGTTGGTGCCGTCGGAGTGGACGCACAGCAATCTCCCCCACCGAGGTCTCTTTTCGAGCGAAGCGCGGTAAACTCTGGGCTGGTGTGCCTGTGGCTGGTAAGTCTTCACCGGGCAGACTAAACGAAAGTGATCGGAAGAGTTTAGGCAATAAGTATTTTCAATCAATACATTGGGTGTGAAACATCTTGATCGGTTTTCAGTGCGGTATGTTGAAAGGAAGCCGGTCATTCTGGACCTTGTAATTGTGGTCCAAAATCGTATCGCAGACGAAAACAAAGAGCGCAGGTTGGTGAATTACCCGACTGCTCCTTCGTCTTCCACGACCACCCCTCTTCTGCTTTTGCCTCCATGACGCATTTGTTTTAGGCTCAGAATGAGTCGGATAGGCACGGAGAGGAGATGTTACTGATTGTAGGAAGTGTACTTCGCATTTTTGACCTAAAGCGTAGCAGCGACTTACTGATTAGTTACACGCCACTAACTCATTGTCGAGGCACAGGAGAGCAGCGTGCGAAGTGTTCGAAGCTTAGCGTCTGTTATAACTTTCTCTAATATTTAAGTAACAATGGTTATTAACACCTTTAGCAGTGATCGTCAATGACGGTATCAGTAGCCTATCAGAGCTCCGGGTTTTCCAGAAACGGGAGACCCGGACACGTTGCCAACAGCAGGCGGCGAAGGAGGAGCGGAGTTTCCGGCGGAAACAATCCCCAAGGGACGTTCGGCGGCGGCGGACGGAGCCAGACCGTTTTAGGGTTTGTACAGCAGGCTCAGTTCCTCCAGTTCGTTCTCGACCCGTGGACGGCCAGGATCTGCTGCGCCAGCGAAGGCGCGCGGAGAGCCCTTGGATACAACAATGCTGAGCTGGAAGCCTTATCGCTTTGCAATCTTGTAGATGGCCTCCCATTGGCTGACTGGCTCCAACTGGTCGCGCCTCTGGCCACGGGGGAAGAAAAGGCCGCGCGATTTTCTGTAGTTCTCCCAGCAAAGGCCGGTGGAGGGGGAGAAGAAGAATCAGAGACGGATGGGGAAGTTGGGGAGATTAGAGGGCCCGGGAATAACGCCGCGATTCACGGCCGTCCCGGACCGAGGGTACCGAACGCGCAGGTTCGGCACGGAGACGTCAGCCGAAGCAGCAGCGGAGGCTCGGAATGGGCGGCGGCGAACCTCCTCAGACGGGGAACCTGGGGCGAAGGTAGCTTATCTCGAGCCGGAGCCGGCTCGGGGTCTATATCGGGGATAGTCTCTAGCACGTCAGAGGACGTTCGGTCAATCCGAACCGTTTCTTCCGTTTCGGATGTTGGCGATGCGGGAGCGGGTGAATTGCTGGAGGAGGAAGAGGGGGAGGAGGAGGGAGAGGAAGGGGAGGATAATGAGGAGGAGGGGGAGGAGTCCGATTCGGCTTCCGCGGATGACGGGTCAGTCAGACGCAGGAGCGGCAGGGGGAGGGCGGGGGGACGGGACTGGGCAGCAGGGGGGGCGCAGGGACACGCGCAGGGACAGGCGCAGGGACAAGGTGCATCGGGAATTGCGGTATCCATTGATTTGCAGTTCTTCGGCATTGGCGGGGAAAGGGAGCTCGTCGCAACAGCGCATGAGCAGCCGCATTTACCGCCGCCGGCGGCGGCGGTGGCGGCGTCGCCAGAACAGCTGCCACCTGGACGCCACGCTGGTAGCAGCGACAGGTCGCATGGCGAGGAGGGCGCGGGCTTGACGGAGAAGGGGGGAATGACGACAGCAGAAGCGAGAGGAGGCGTTGCAGGAAAAGGCGGGTTAGACAGTCCGCTAGCAAGCGCGGTTCACGGCGCGTTTCACGGCGCTCATGGTTCCGCAGCTCATGATGGTACTGCTTCACCTGCTTCCGCCTCACCTTCCGCCTCCCCCCAGCCCAAGCCGCTCCGCCGCGGATTAAGCATCGGGGGAAAGGTTCAGATGCTCATGCCTTCAGACCCATTCAACCGGTCCCAGACTGCCGTTTTCTCGCAGCCGGCTAGCCGTCAGCAGGACTCGGCTAGCCGACAGGACTCGCATAGCCAGTCGCCGATGCATCAGCGGTCGCCGTCTAGGTCTCCCGAGCCGCGGCGACCCGAATCGCGGCTTAATAGGTGGCAGAGTATGGACGTTAGCTCCATGGATAGTAAGAATATGCTTTTAACGAAAGGCGACGCGTTTGGGAGGAGCGCGGGCGCGGGGATGATTGGCGGAACGGTGGGGGAAACGGCGGGGGGAATGCTCCGCGGAGAGGAAATGGGGCGAGGGCGGAAAGCGAGGGGCGGGGGGCCTGGGGGAAGGATGATGAGTGTAGAAGAGGGGGATTTTGGCTGGTTGGGGATGGGGAGTGGGGCTGGGAGGGGGATGGGCGCAGGGAGGGGAGGGAGAGGCATGGGCGGAGGGGAGGATGCGCGGACGCAGGGTTCCGCGGATAGATGTGACACACTGGGCCGGGTGGGGAAGAAGGACCGTAAATCGCGGTTTGGGTCAGGTGAGCAGGGGAAGAGGGGTATGCTGGAGATAGGGGAAATGCAGGGGTCACTGGAAATGCAGATAAGGGGAACGCAGGAGACTCGGGGAACGCAGGGGAAATTGTACGCTGACAGGGGGGACGCAGGAGACTGGGGGAGCGCAGGGGGGGGGAGGGGGAACGCAGATGGGGAGAACACAGTCGGTCGGGGGGAGTGCTGACGGGGGGAATGCTGACGGGGGGAATGCTGACGGGGGGAATGCTGACGGGGGGAATGCAGGGGACCGGGAAAACGGCAGGTGAAGGGGGAACTCAGATTTGGGCGAGGAGGAGAAATGGGCTTGTCACATAAGGGTGGGAAGTACAGGGGTGAGGAAGAAGGGGAAAAGGGGCACGAATAAGGTGCAGTGAGAAGCGGTTGGGGCAGGTGAGGAAGCGAGGGTTGATTTCAAGCAAAGGCGATGGTCAGATAAGTTGGAGTAGTGGTTGAAACCAGATATGGTGGGATTATGGCGGAGCTCCCACACTCATGCACGAGTTTTGCGTCGACTTAAAACACGACGTATTCACAAACAATCCACTCCTTCCTCTTCTTCCACACACTCACTCATGACTTCCCCACCTGACAAGCCTGACATTGACAAAGCCCCACTGACAAACCTCTCGCTTTTTCTTTCCGCTCCCTCGTTCCTGCCCCTCTCCTTCAATCCCCAACCCCCTCTTACTCCCCCTTTCCTCTTCCCCCGCCCTCGTCTGCCGCTGTACCTCCCACCCCCAGAGGGCCATTTTCCCCAGCACTGGGTGCAGGATGCTATCGACGTCCACTGGCTGCCAGAGCCCCCTCTCAGGTAGGTTCGGGTGCATCTTTCTTCCACTGTTTTCGCGTATGTCTCCCCACTCCATGCTCAGAGGGTCATTTCCCCCAGTGCATCCATTGGCTGCCGGAGCCTCCTCTCAGGTAGGTCATTCAACTGTATGCTTCTCCAATTCCTTTCCCGTATGCTTCCCCACTGTATGCTCACACTTGTGAGTGAGTTCACCCGAGCCTTCATCTCTCCTCTCCCAGCAGCACTGGGTGCAGGATGCTATCGACGTCCACTGGCTGCCGGAGCCCCCTCTCAGGTAGGTGTATTGAGTGTATTCTCCCCCGTATGCTCCCCCACTGTGTTCTCCCCCACTGTGTTCTCCCCCACTGTGTTCTCCCCCAATGTCTCCTCTCACTCATGCTGCCCTTCACCCACTGTCTCCCCACTCCACCCACCCCACCTTACCCCACCCCACCCCGGCCCGCCCCACCCCACCCATCAGATCGCTCCTTGACTCAGCCTCCGTCGCGCTCGCAGCGCTACGAGTGAGCAGCGCTGAGCTGGCGCACTGCAGTGCCGCCCTGGCAGCAATGCTGGGCCGCCCGGCTCGCGCCGTGGAGGGGCGAGTGCTGGAGGATTTCATAGCCCGGGATGACGTGGCTGCCTTCCAGGCATGGTTCTCGACAGTCTCTGATGCCGTCCTACGTGGCGCGTCCATGTCAGCGCCAGCATGGCAGCGGCAGCGCCAGCACGACCTGCGGCTGCTGCTGCCGGGCGGCAAGCTGCGTCCTGTGCGGATCACGGTGGACGCCGCCCCTCCGGCTTCCAGCAGTGGAGGAGGGGGGATAGGGGGAGCAGGGGGAGGTGCTGCTGCTGCTGCTGCTGCTAATGCTGGTACTGGGGATCATGTGTCAATGATTATGGCTTTGATTTGCGACCTGCCAGCTGCTAGCACTGCTAAGGTGCGTGGATTGCTGGTGATGTTGCTGCTGGTACTGTGGTGTGCGCCATATTTATTTGATTATGGCTCTCATCTGCAATGTACCACTTGCTAGCTCTGCCAGGTGCGTAATTAGTCAGACTGCCCTTCAATTCTATGTTGCAAAATACGCGACCAGCGTACGGTACGCTTTCGAACTATACGCTACCGTACATTCGTGATACGCTGACTTCCAGCGTACAAAAAAACCCGAAATACGGAGTGTCGGGCAGGCAAAAAGATTCTTCGGGCAGGGATAAAACACTTCAGTGGAGGTAGAATCCTTCAGGAGTATTTTTTTTTCCTAGATGCTCGCTGATACGGATAATCTGCTGGGCGTTTTTGCGATAAGGAACTCTGAAATGTTTGAGGGATCGTTGGCCAGAATCGCCCTGAAATTTCGGCCGCGAAGATCCTGCAATGTGACGCTTAAGCCACAATTAGCAATAACAGATGCGGCATTGGCGGTCGACATAGCTGTTTGAAGCTACATCGTAGAGTAAAATAGGTGTGAGACAAATGAGATACGAAAGGCTGTTGTACGGAAAGCTGCCAGCTGCTAGTGGTGGGTGGGAGGGAAAGGTTGGGTTTGGGGGGTGGTGTGCGGTGATGTGCAGTGGAAAAGGGGGGTGGGGGATCAAATCGAGTCTCGAATGTCAAATTTAGGTTTCACAGAATCGCAGATCGCGAGAACGGCGGAACATAGTTTTGAGTTTTTTTTTTTTCGGGCTGCCCGACCTAGCCGTATTGCGTATTATGGACGTATCACGTTTTTTCGTATATACGTTATCGTACAAACGTGATACGCGTCGAAGCCTCAGCGTATAGTGCAACATAGCTTCAATTCTCCATTGCTATGCATTTCCTGTTGATATGCCATCTGCATATTTCTGCCACCCTGTGTGCGCCATCGAGACACTATCGTGGTCAGGCCACCTTTCATCTCTGTCCTCCTCCTCTCAAACAAGTTCCTCTGCCTGCCACCTGCCACCCGCCAGCTTCTCCTTATGCCCGTGCTTCTCCCACCACACCCTTCCGCCGCTCATCGCTCCCCGTGACCCTCCCCACCCTGCCATCCCTTTATTCTGGACTGGAACATGGCCCAGCGGGGATGGTGCACATCCTGCCGCACCCGCAGGAAGAGGGTTTGTTTTCTTAGGCTCCTCAAGTTTCGACCTCCGCCCCTCTTCCCCTTTATCTGTCCCCACCAGCCCCCCTCCTCGGATCGCCACCGCTTCATTCTCGAGCATCTGCCTGCGGGGGTGGTGCACGTGCTGCCGCAGCAGCAGGGGGGCGGAGCAGGGGGAATGGGGGGAGCGGGAGGGGGAGTAGGGGGAAGGGGCGGGGAGGTGCTGGTGAATGCGCACGTGGAGGCGATTGTGGGGTACTCGCGCGAGCAGCTGGGGAGTGTGGACGACTGGTTCTCGCTGCTCTTCCGGGAGAGAGAGGCCGAGGTGGGTTTGTTGAATCGAGCTGCTGTTCTGGGAGAGAGAGGCCGGGTGAGGTGGGGAACAGGGTGGGGTGAGTTGGTGAGGTGAGGTGAGAATTCGGCTTAAGGGAGTGATGATCTGGTCTGGGAAAACGGTTTTTGCTGCTATCTTGAGAGTGAGAGGCTGAGGTGGGAAACAGGGTGGGGTGAGCGTGTGAGCGGGGCAGTAAGTTGGATGAGTGTGGAGACAAGGCAAGTGCAACGATTTCATTCCTCCCATTCCTCAACCCACTCCTTCCTTCCGTCCCCTCCCCTCTCCCCTCCTCCCAGGTGCGCAAGGTGATGGATGGAGATCGCAAGGCAGGGTTCCCCCACCCGCGCACCATGCGTGTGGTGAGGAGCGACAGGGAGCAGCGGTGGGTGGAGGTGGTGGGGCGCGACTGCAGCTACCTCTCCTCTTCCACCACCGATGTCGCTTCCATCGATACAGCCAAGTGGGCAGCGGAGGGGGGAGGTGGTGGAGAGCTGTGGGTGGTGAGTGACATCACGGACCGGCTGATCGTGCAGGAGAAGTTCCGCCTGCTCTTTGACTTCTCCTCGGTGCGTCTCGCCTGCTCTTTGACTTCTCCTCCGTGCGTCTCGCCTGCTCTTTGACTTCTCCTCCGTGCGTCTCGCCTGCTCTTTGACTTCTCCTCCGTGCGTCTCGCCTGCTCTTTGACTTCTCCTCCGTGCGTCTCGCCTGCTCTTTGACTTCTCCGTGCGTCTCGCCTGCTCTTTGACTTCTCCTCCGTGCGTCTCGCCTGCTCTTTGACTTCTCCTCCGTGCGTCTCGCCTGCTCTTTGACTTCTCCTCCGTGCGTCTCGCCTGCTCTTTGACTTCTCCTCCGTGCGTCTCGCCTGCTCTTTGACTTCTCCTCCGTGCGTCTCGCCTGCTCTTTGACTTCTCCTCCGTGCGTCTCGCCTGCTCTTTGACTTCTCCTCCGTGCGTCTCGCCTGCTCTTTGACTTCTCCTCCGTGCGTCTCACCTGCTCTTTGACTTCTCCTCCGTGCGTCTCGCCTGCTCTTTGACTTCTCCTCCGTGCGTCTCGCCTGCTCTTTGACTTCTCCTCCGTGCGTCTCGCCTGCTCTTTGACTTCTCCTCCGTGCGTCTCGCCTGCTCTTTGACTTCTCCTCCGTGCGTCTCGCCTGCTCTTTGACTTCTCCTCCGTGCGTCTCGCCTGCTCTTTGACTTCTCCTCCGTGCGTCTCGCCTGCTCTTTGACTTCTCCTCCGAGTGTCTCGCCTGCTCTTTGACTTCTCCTCCGTGTGTCTCGCCTTCCGAGACATGCGCATGGGTGTGGGTGGGTGTGTGGGTGGGTGTGTGGGTGGGTGTGTGGGTGGGTGGGTGGGTGGGTGTGTGGGTGTGTGGGTGGGTGTGTGGGTGGGTGTGTGGGTGTTAAGTGAACCACCCTGCCATCTTCTCGCCTCCAACCACACACTCCCTCCCCTCTCCTCTCCCCTGCCATTCATTCAACCCCATCCCCACCCATTTCCTCTCCCCTGTCCGTCCGAACACCCACTCTCCCCGCTCTTCCCCTCCCCCCTCCCTCCTCCCCACATCAGGACGGCTACCTGGTGTGTGACGAGACGGGCATCACAGAATGCAACGAAGCAGCAGTGCGGTGCCCTTACAACGCCACCAACCCCTGCTCCCCTCCTCCCATCCCTCCCCCTCTTCCCCCACTTCCCCCTTTCCCCCCCACCGCCCGCCCCCCTTTCCTCTCAGGACGGCTACCTGGTGTTTGACGAGACGGGCATCACAGAGTGCAACGAGGCGGCAGTGCGCTGCCTGCGCTGCCCCGATAAGGCCAGCCTGCTGGGCCACCACCCCGCACTCTTCTCGCCGCTGAAGCAGCCGGACGGGCAGCTGTCCAAGGAGAAGGCTAAGGCCATGGACCGGCGGGCAGAACAGCACGGCATGCACAAGTGAGCGACCGCGAGGGATGGGGGGATTGGGTGGGGCGTGGCGTGGGATTGGGAGGGGTGCATCCACTAGTGAGTGAGAGGGGGACTGGGAGGCGTGTGGGAGGGGTGGATGCACCTGATCGTGTCTTAACACGCCCCTGCCATCTTCCCCTCCCCTCTGCCCCACCCAGATTCGAGTGGGTGTACCAGCGGTTTGATGGCTCGCTAGTCCCCATAGAAGTAACTCTGACCTTCCTGGAGGTGCAGCAGCAGCACCCCATGTACCTGGTGGTGTCTTAACACGCGCCGCCCCCTTCCCCTCCCCTCTCCTCCCTCAGGTTCGAGTGGGTGTATCAGCGGTTCGATGGCTCCCTAGTCCCCATAGAAGTGACTCTGACCTTCCTGGAGGTGCAGCAGCAGCACCCCATGTACCTGGTGGTGTCTTGACGCACCCCCACCTCTCCCTCCCTTCTGTCCCTCCCGACTCCTCCCTCAGGTTTGAGTGGGTGTACCAACGGTTCGACGGCTCTCTAGTCCCCATAGAAGTGACTCTGACCTTCCTGGAGGTGCAGCAGCAGCACCCCATGTACCTGGTGGTGTGGCACGAGGTGGCGGAGATCAAGCAGCAGGCGGAGGAGCTCAGAGCCGCCAAGGACGCCGCTGAGAAGGCCAGCCAGGCCAAGAGCCAGTTCCTCGCCAATATGAGCCATGAGATTCGCACGCCTATGAATGGTGAGTGGCGTGAGAGGGGTGAGCGGGTGAGAGTGAGTAAGGGCTGAGCGGTGGGAGAGAGGTTGAGATTGAGGGTCTCTAGCTGCTGAGAAGGCCAGCCAGGCCAAGAGCCAGTTCCTCGCCAATATGAGCCACGAGATCCGCACCCCTATGAATGGTGAGTGATGTGAGAGGGGTGAGCGGGTGAGAGTGAGTGAGGGCTGAGCGGTGGGAGAGAGGTTGAGATTGAGGGTCTCTAGCTGCTGAGAAGGCCAGCCAGGCCAAGAGCCAGTTCCTCGCCAACATGAGCCACGAGATCCGCACCCCCATGAACGGTGAGTAGGCTGTGGGGTGAGGGGGAGGGTCTTTAGCTGTGGAGAAGGCCAGCCAGGCCAAGAGCCAGTTCGTGGCGAACATGAGCCACGAGATTTGCACCCCTATGAATGGCGAGTAAGTTCTGTGTGTGGGGGCATGCAAGTTCAGACGTGGAAACTTGAGGTGTCTCTTAATTTTGCACTTCAGACGCACCTTAATCTCTCCCTTCCATTCCTGCGTGCCTCTTCCTACTCTGCTTCAGGTGTCATCAGAGTGGTGGAGCTACTACTGGGCACGGACCCCAGAGCAGAGCAGCACTCGTATCTCGAGATCATCCGGCCTTTTCCATTCTCTCTTTCCATTTCACCCCCCACCTGATGCCCGCCACGTGTGATCGGAGTGGCAGAGCTGCTACTGGGAACGGACCTGACAGCGGAGCAGCGCTCGTACCTCGAGATCATCCGGCCTTTTCCATTCTCCTCCCCTTTCACCCCCCACCTGATGCCCCCCAGGTGTGATCGGAGTGGCAGAGCTGCTACTGGGAACGGACCTGACAGCAGAGCAGCGCTCGTACCTCGAGATCATCCGCTCCTCTGGTGACAATCTGCTGAGAATCATATCTGACGTGCTCGATCTCTCCAAGATCGAATCTAAGAACCTGGCGCTAGAGCACATCGAGTTCAACATCCAGCAGCAGGTGAGCAGTTCACATGGAGTTCAACATCCAGCAGCAGGTGAGCAGTTCACATCGAGTTCAACATTCAGCCGCTGGAGATATTTGGCCATAGTCCCATCAGAGCTGTTGAGGTGCCTCGTGTTCTTTTGGGTGTCTCAAAATTCTGTGTTTCCCGCTTCTCTTTCTCCCTATGACCACCGTTTCTTCCTCACTTCACCCTCCTGCTGCAGGTGACAGAGGCGCTCGCGCTGCTAGAGGTGGTGGCGAAGGATAAGGGGCCGTACCTGGACCGGTGCTGTGGTGTCGTCTGCCTTTCCCGCCTGTCCCGCATGTTTTCGCCTGTCCCGCCTGTCCCACGTGGCCTTATCCCTGTGCCTGTCCCCGTTGCCCTCGTGTCTTTCCTCCTCCCCACTTCCATTACCAGGTGACAGAGGCGCTCGCCCTGCTAGAGGTGGTGGCGAAGGACAAGGGGCTGTATCTGGAGCTGGAGATCGGTGAAGAGGTGCCGTCCGTGGTGATGGGCGATCCAGTGCGGTTGAGACAGGTGCTGCTGAACCTCATCTCCAACTCCATCAAGTTCACCGACAAGTGAGTTTCGAGGCCAAGCGTGTGTTGCTGAGCACAAAGGGGTTTGCTGAGTAGATGGGATGGGATGGGAGGGATGAGGATTCACAAGAGCAAAGAGCCAGATGAACCTGGATTCACAATGCTCATCCCTCCCATCTACCCCACACTCTTGCTGACGTTTTAGTGCCTGCTCCCCTGCCCCTCTCCCCCTCTCTCTCCGTCCACGAGACATCCATTGTTGGCCCATTCCCCCCTCCTCCCCCTCCCCCTCCCCCCACACTCTCTCCAGTGGCGGCATCACAGGGGACCTGCGTCTGGCCACTCACGAGGAGATCAAAGAAGCGTTTCGAGACTTCTCAAAAACATTTTGTCCCTCTCTCCCCTCTCCTCCCCCTCCCTATCCCCACCTCCCTTGCCCACTCCCCCACCTCCCCCCCACCCACCCACCTCTCTGACCTCCAGTGGCGGCATCACAGTGGACCTGCGTCTAGCCACTGATGAGGAGATCAAAGAGGTCGAGCAGGCAGCTACCCCGAAGCTTCCTGCAGACAGCGCTACCACCACCACCAGCACTGCCGCTGCTGGCGGCGGCGGCAGCAGCAACAGCGGCAGCAGGAGCGGGAACAAGAGCAAGAGCGGCGGCAAGGGGAAGGAGGGGGATAGCGAGGGGGAGAGCAAGGGGGCGAGTGAGGGGGAGAGTGAGAGTGAGAGTGAGGAGGGGGATGAGAGTGTGATGGTGCGGTTTGAGGTGAGGGACACGGGGGTGGGCATGGACGAGAGTGCACGCAGCCGGCTGTTCAAGGCGTTCTCTCAGGCAGACAACTCCACCAGCCGCCACTACGGTGGCACGGGGCTGGGCCTGGCGATTTGCAAGAGCTTGTGTAACCTCATGGGGGGGGATATCAGCCTGCATAGCCAGGTGGGTTGGGGTTGAATTGAGATGAGCTTGTTCTGCCTTTTTTAAGTTGGGGCCTTTTGAATCAAACCACGGGAGTTGGGCTGGCCATTTGCAAGAGCCTCTGCAACCCAGCATGGGGGGGATATCAGCCTGCATAGCCAGGTGGGTGGGTTGGGATTGAGATGAACTAGCTTTTCCCTGCGAGTTGATTGAGACCCTCTCCTTACTAACTCTACTCTCTACCTCTTCCTCTTATTTCTCCCCAGGTGGGCGTGGGGTCGACGTTCTATTTCCACGTGCGGGTGGGCGTGGTGAGGCGTGACGCCCAGTCAGCCACGGCATCAGCGGAGCAGTCGCTCACGAGCGACGTGGAGCCGCTGTGGAAGCACCTACAGGACCTTAGAGTGCTCGTTGCTGAGGTGAGTGGGCGTTGGGGTGCTGGTGGTGGTGCTGTTGGCGGAGGTGAGGGGTTGAATGGGTTGGTAGTGCATCAGCGGAGCAGTCCGTCACAAGCGACGTGGAGCCGCTGTGGACGCACCTACAGGACCTTAGAGTGCTCGTTGCTGAGGTGAGTGGGCGTGAAGGCCATGTGCGTTGATGCTAGGGGTATTCGTGGTAGAGGTGAGTGCTGCTGGTGTACAGGAGTCTTGGGGTATGGGTGAACAATTCAAGGTGAACGAGATGGTGGCACCATCTGATCCTCATGCTGCAAAATCTGGGCCTCAGCGTATCACCCTCGCACCTTCGCCTTCTCCTTTCTCCCCTCGCCCATCAGGACAACAAGGTGAATCAGATGGTGGCGACGCGCATGCTGCACAACCTGGGGCTCAAGTACGATGTGGTGGAGAATGGCAAGCTCGCCGTGCGGGCGTGCTCCGAACGCTGCTACGATGTCGTGCTCATGGTGAGTCGCATTGCCCCTCATGCTGAGTTCATGTCGACCCACCAGCATGAGTGACGCTGCTGCTGTCCTTCATGCTGACCTTTCAACACGACTAAAAAAAGGCCTGCAAGTTGCCCTCATGGCGAACTGTGCTGCCCCTCCTTCCCTCTGCCCCCTACTCAGGCCATCTTGTACACCTGTTCTCAGTTTTTTTACTCTACCCCCCTCCATCCCCCTCCCATCCCTTTCCCTCTCATCCCCTCCCCTCCCCTCCCTTTCCCTCCCCTCCCCCGAACCGCCCTCCTCTCCCCTCCATCATCCCCACCAGGACTGTCACATGCCGGAGATGGATGGGTTTGAAGCCACGCGGAAGATCAGGGAGATGCAAGCGGAGAGGCTGCACGTGTACAGCAGCCATGGCCGCCTGTGGTAATGCATTCCCCTCTCCTCCCCCCCCCCTCTTTTCCCCTCTCCTCCCCTTCTCCCCTCTGCCCTCCCCTTCCATTCCCCCCTCTCTCCTGTCCTCCCTTCTCTCCGCCCCTCCCCTCCATCACCCCCCACCAGGACTGTCACATGCCGGAGATGGATGGGTTTGAAGCCACGCGGAAGATCCGGGAGATGGAGGCGGAGAGGCTGCAGGTATACACAGCAGCCATGGCTGCCTGTGGCAACGGCTCCCCTTACGGCAGCGCCGCCAGCTGGGTGGCTAACACTAACAGTGATGCTAGCGATAGTGAGGCAAGCTCTCCTTCCCAGCCTCGCCGCGCTCACATGCCGCCACGGCCGCACCGGACGTTTATCGTCGCGCTTACCGCATCTGCTCTTAGTGAGGATAAGGACAGCTGCATGGCTGCTGGGATGGATTACTATTTATCGAAGCCGATCCGGCCGCGGGAGATTGAGAAGGCGATTCGGGAGAGCTTGACGCAGGCGAAGAGCCCGACGGGTGAGTTAAAGCCCACGTCGCCGCAGCTGAGGTATCAGCAGACGAAGAGGCAGCTGTTGTTGCAGCAGCAGGAGCAGCAGCGGCAGCAGGAGCAGCAGAGGCAGCAGGGGGAAAGGCAGGAAAGGCAGCAGGGGATAGGACGGGGCGGGAGGGGGGCAGGAGGGGAGAGTGAGAGAGAGGGGGAGGATACAGTTGAGTTTGTTCCAGGGAGGGGTGTGAGTAAGGTGGAGGGGAGGGATGCTGTGGGAGGAGCGGGAAGTGGGGTGGACAGGAGCGTGATGATGGGTGGAAGAGGAGGAGCAGGAGGAGGAGGAGGGGGAGGGGGAGGAGGAGGAGGAGCAACGATAGGCACAGGCACAGGTGCGGGAGGGGAAGGGGGAGTGGGAGGGGGAGGGGGGCGAGGGGCAGCGGCAGGTGGGAGAGGGGGGAAGAGCCTGGCAGCGTACCCCTCATTTGGGTCGTGGAACGATGTGCTGGGGTCGGAGTCGGAAGGCTGTGCCTCTGATGACTCCTCCCGGGGCCGCCCCCGCCCACGAGGAGGGGGCGCCGCACCCCCTGGCCCCACCGCTGCTAGTGCTGCCGGTGCTGCCAGTGGTGGCAGTGGCTTGGCTGGTGGGATGGGAGAGGTGGGAGGTAGACGAGGAGGAGCAGGTGGTGGCGTTGCTGCTGCTTCTGCTGCTGCTACTGCTGCTTCTGCTGGCACTGGTAGCCGTGCTGGTGGTGGTGGTGGTGGAGGTGCGTTTGCAGCATCCCCTCAGGCGCACGCTAGCTTCCCTCGCTCTCGCAGTTCTGCCGCGCCCAGATCAGCCGAGTCCATCCCTCTTGATCCCGGGGCAGGCTTGGCCGGACCTGAGGCTCGGCACCGAGCCAAGTCTCCCCTGGTTCGGGCGAAGTCAGGTGTGGGGCCTGAAATAGGCAGAATGAGAAGAGGAGAGGGGGGTGGGAGAGGAGGAGGAGGAGGAGGAGGAGGAGGAGGAGGAGGAGGAGGAGGAGGAGGAGGAGGAGGAGGAGGAGGAGGAGGAGGAGGAGGAGGAGCAGGAGGAGGAGAGAAAGGAAGGAAGTTTCTAGACGCCTTGCCAGCAGCAACGTCAGCAGCTTCCAGGAAGCTGCACGGGCAGGGGGACGAGTGTTTGCCGGCCAGGCAGCCTCCTTCGGCCCTGTCTATGCGCGCCCGCTCCCGCTCCATGTCCATGTCCATCGCCTATATCAACTTCCATGTGAGACAGCACTCCCTAGTTGAGCCTCTCAATAGCACCCTCTAGCGCGTGCTCGTTCCCGCTCCCCGCTCCATGTCCATCCCCTACATGAACTTCCAGGTGAGACAACCACCCCCACATCCAGGTGAGACAACCACCCCCACATCCAGGTGAGACAACCACCCCCACATCCAGGTGAGACAACCACCCCCACATCCAGGTGAGACAACCACCCCCACATCCAGGTGAGACAACCACCCCCACATCCAGGTCCATGCCCATGCTTGCAAGTCGTGTGATGTTCCACTAGCACTCTCGCGCTCGCTCCCGCTCCATGTCCATGTCCATCGCCTATATGAACTTCCATGTGAGACAGCACTCCCTAGTTGAGCCTCTCAATAGCACCCTCTAGCGCGTGCTCGTTCCCGCTCCCCGCTCCATGTCCATCCCCTACATGAACTTCCAGGTGAGACAACCACCCCCACATCCAGGTGAGACAACCACCCCCACATCCAGGTGAGACAACCACCCCCACATCCAGGTGAGACAACCACCCCCACATCCAGGTGAGACAACCACCCCCACATCCAGGTGAGACAACCACCCCCACATCCAGGTGAGACAACCACCCCCACATCCAGGTCCATGCCCATGCTTGCAAGTCGTGTGATGTTCCACTAGCACTCTCGCGCTCGCTCCCGCTCCATGTCCATGTCCATCGCCTATATGAACTTCCATGTGAGACAGCACTCCCTAGTTGAGCCTCTCAATAGCACCCTCTAGCGCGTGCTCGTTCCCGCTCCCCGCTCCATGTCCATCCCCTACATGAACTTCCAGGTGAGACAACCACCCCCACATCCAGGTGAGACAACCACCCCCACATCCAGGTGAGACAACCACCCCCACATCCAGGTGAGACAACCACCCCCACATCCAGGTGAGACAACCACCCCCACATCCAGGTCCATGCCCGTGCTTGCAAGTCGTGTGATGTTCCACTAGCACTCTCGCGCTCGCTCCCGCTCCATGTCCATGTCCATCGCCTATATGAACTTCCATGTGAGACAGCACTCCCTAGTTGAGCCTCTCAATAGCACCCTCTAGCGCGTGCTCGTTCCCGCTCCCCGCTCCATGTCCATCCCCTACATGAACTTCCAGGTGAGACAACCACCCCCACATCCAGGTGAGACAACCACCCCCACATCCAGGTGAGACAACCACCCCCACATCCAGGTGAGACAACCACCCCCACATCCAGGTGAGACAACCACCCCCACATCCAGGTCCATGCCCATGCTTGCAAGTCGTGTGATGTTCCACTAGCACTCTCGCGCTCGCTCCCGCTCCATGTCCATGTCCATCGCCTATATGAACTTCCATGTGAGACAGCACTCCCTAGTTGAGCCTCTCAATAGCACCCTCTAGCGCGTGCTCGTTCCCGCTCCCCGCTCCATGTCCATCCCCTACATGAACTTCCAGGTGAGACAACCACCCCCACATCCAGGTGAGACAACCACCCCCACATCCAGGTGAGACAACCACCCCCACATCCAGGTGAGACAACCACCCCCACATCCAGGTCCATGCCCATGCTTGCAAGTCGTGTGATGTTCCACTAGCACTCTCGCGCTCGCTCCCGCTCCATGTCCATGTCCATCGCCTATATGAACTTCCATGTGAGACAGCACTCCCTAGTTGAGCCTCTCAATAGCACCCTCTAGCGCGTGCTCGTTCCCGCTCCCCGCTCCATGTCCATCCCCTACATGAACTTCCAGGTGAGACAACCACCCCCACATCCAGGTGAGACAACCACCCCCACATCCAGGTGAGACAACCACCCCCACATCCAGGTGAGACAACCACCCCCACATCCAGGTGAGACAACCACCCCCACATCCAGGTGAGACAACCACCCCCACATCCAGGTGAGACAACCACCCCCACATCCAGGTCCATGCCCATGCTTGCAAGTCGTGTGATGTTCCACTAGCACTCTCGCGCTCGCTCCCGCTCCATGTCCATGTCCATCGCCTATATGAACTTCCATGTGAGACAGCACTCCCTAGTTGAGCCTCTCAATAGCACCCTCTAGCGCGTGCTCGTTCCCGCTCCCCGCTCCATGTCCATCCCCTACATGAACTTCCAGGTGAGACAACCACCCCCACATCCAGGTGAGACAACCACCCCCACATCCAGGTGAGACAACCACCCCCACATCCAGGTGAGACAACCACCCCCACATCCAGGTGAGACAACCACCCCCACATCCAGGTCCATGCCCATGCTTGCAAGTCGTGTGATGTTCCACTAGCACTCTCGCGCTCGCTCCCGCTCCATGTCCATGTCCATCGCCTATATGAACTTCCATGTGAGACAGCACTCCCTAGTTGAACCTCTCAATAGCACCCTCTAGCGCGTGCTCGTTCCCGCTCCCCGCTCCATGTCCATCCCCTACATGAACTTCCAGGTGAGACAACCACCCCCACATCCAGGTGAGACAACCACCCCCACATCCAGGTGAGACAACCACCCCCACATCCAGGTGAGACAACCACCCCCACATCCAGGTGAGACAACCACCCCCACATCCAGGTCCATGCCCATGCTTGCAAGTCGTGTGATGTTCCACTAGCACTCTCGCGCTCGCTCCCGCTCCATGTCCATGTCCATCGCCTATATGAACTTCCATGTGAGACAGCACTCCCTAGTTGAGCCTCTCAATAGCACCCTCTAGCGCGTGCTCGTTCCCGCTCCCCGCTCCATGTCCATCCCCTACATGAACTTCCAGGTGAGACAACCACCCCCACATCCAGGTGAGACAACCACCCCCACATCCAGGTGAGACAACCACCCCCACATCCAGGTGAGACAACCACCCCCACATCCAGGTGAGACAACCACCCCCACATCCAGGTGAGACAACCACCCCCACATCCAGGTCCATGCCCATGCTTGCAAGTCGTGTGATGTTCCACTAGCACTCTCGCGCTCGCTCCCGCTCCATGTCCATGTCCATCGCCTATATGAACTTCCATGTGAGACAGCACTCCCTAGTTGAGCCTCTCAATAGCACCCTCTAGCGCGTGCTCGTTCCCGCTCCCCGCTCCATGTCCATCCCCTACATGAACTTCCAGGTGAGACAACCACCCCCACATCCAGGTGAGACAACCACCCCCACATCCAGGTGAGACAACCACCCCCACATCCAGGTGAGACAACCACCCCCACATCCAGGTCCATGCCCATGCTTGCAAGTCGTGTGATGTTCCACTAGCACTCTCGCGCTCGCTCCCGCTCCATGTCCATGTCCATCGCCTATATGAACTTCCATGTGAGACAGCACTCCCTAGTTGAGCCTCTCAATAGCACCCTCTAGCGCGTGCTCGTTCCCGCTCCCCGCTCCATGTCCATCCCCTACATGAACTTCCAGGTGAGACAACCACCCCCACATCCAGGTGAGACAACCACCCCCACATCCAGGTGAGACAACCACCCCCACATCCAGGTGAGACAACCACCCCCACATCCAGGTCCATGCCCATGCTTGCAAGTCGTGTGATGTTCCACTAGCACTCTCGCGCTCGCTCCCGCTCCATGTCCATGTCCATCGCCTATATGAACTTCCATGTGAGACAGCACTCCCTAGTTGAGCCTCTCAATAGCACCCTCTAGCGCGTGCTCGTTCCCGCTCCCCGCTCCATGTCCATCCCCTACATGAACTTCCAGGTGAGACAACCACCCCCACATCCAGGTGAGACAACCACCCCCACATCCAGGTGAGACAACCACCCCCACATCCAGGTGAGACAACCACCCCCACATCCAGGTCCATGCCCATGCTTGCAAGTCGTGTGATGTTCCACTAGCACTCTCGCGCTCGCTCCCGCTCCATGTCCATGTCCATCGCCTATATGAACTTCCATGTGAGACAGCACTCCCTAGTTGAGCCTCTCAATAGCACCCTCTAGCGCGTGCTCGTTCCCGCTCCCCGCTCCATGTCCATCCCCTACATGAACTTCCAGGTGAGACAACCACCCCCACATCCAGGTGAGACAACCACCCCCACATCCAGGTGAGACAACCACCCCCACATCCAGGTGAGACAACCACCCCCACATCCAGGTCCATGCCCATGCTTGCAAGTCGTGTGATGTTCCACTAGCACTCTCGCGCTCGCTCCCGCTCCATGTCCATGTCCATGTCCATGTCCATGTCCATGTCCATGTCCGTGTACATTGCCAGCATGAACTTCCAGGTGAGTCCTCAGTCCCCTGCCCCTGCCCCTGCCCACGCCCCCGCCCACGCCCCCGCCCCCGCCCGTGCCCGTGCCCATTTCCATGCCCATGCCCTCCCTTCACAATTCTCTCTCTATTCACTCCACCAACTCTCCCCTTTCTCAGGTGGAGAGTGACGACGAGGAGGACGAGGAGGGAGTGCTGGGAGGGGGTGGGCTTTCGAGTCGCCTCAGGATTCACCTCCCTTCCCCTCCACTGTTTCCCTTCCATTTCCATCCACCATCTCCCCCCTTCCTCAGGTGGAGAGTGACGATGAGGAGGACGAGGAGGGTTTGTTGGGAGGCGGGCCCAACGGAGCATTTTCACAAGGCTGGCTCGCCGGCAGATCTGGCAGCGGCTCCTATGCCTCTGGCCCTTCTGCTTCTGCTTCTGCTGCTCCTAGCACTAACCTTCCCTATCCCCCTTCCCTTCCACTATCTACCAACCCCTCCACCATCTCTCCCCTTCATCAGGTGGAGAGTGACGACGAGGAGGGCGTGTTGGGAGGGCGCTTTTGAGTCACCTCAGGATTCATCTTCCTTTTCCTCCACTGTCTCCCTTCCTTTCCACCATCTCCCCCCTTCCTCAGGTGGAGAGTGACGATGAGGAGGACGAGGAGGGCGTGTTGGGAGGCGGGCCCAACGGAGCATTTTCACAAGGCTGGCTCGCCGGCAGATCTGGCAGCGGCTCCTATGCCGGTGGCCCTGCTGCTGCTACTTCTGCGTCTGTTACTGCTTCGTCTGCTGCTGCCCGCGCTTCCCCTGCTGGTGCGAGCGGGCTGGACAGTGGCAACAGGGAGAGGTTGGGGGGAAAGCCTGGAGGGTTGGCCGGACGGGGGCCTGCAGGGGGTGCGGGTGAGGGTGGGGGAGGGGGAGGAAGATCGAGAGGAGGAGGACAAAGAGGAGAGGGAGAGGGAGGGGGGGTAGAGGGAGGACAGAGGAGGCTGTCTCGGAGCGGGTCACAGAAACGAATGTGGGAAACTGGCACCCCGTTGCAAAGTGATGATGATGATGAGGAGGAGGAGGAGGAGGAGGAGGAGGAGGAGGAGGAGGAGGAGGAGGAGGAGGAGGAGGAGGAGGAGGAGGAGGAGGAGGAGGAGGAGGAGGAGGAGGAGGAGGAGGAGGAAGAGGAGGAGGAGGAGGAGGAGGAGGAGGAGGAGGAGGAGGAGGACGGGGAGGAGGAGGAGAGCATTGGGGAGGGAGGGAGTGGGCATGGAAATAGGCGTGGGCATGGGCAGGGTAATCGAGATGGGTATGGGCGTGGACATAGCTCGAATCAGGATGGGCTGACGAGTAATGATGAGGATGATGACGCGAGCAGCAGCTACAGTAACACTAACAGTAACTCTAGCAATCACCGTTACAGTAGTGGCGGTGGCGGCGGCGGCAAGCAGAGGGAGGGTGGCAGCATGGGCGGCGGCATGGGCGGCAGCAACAGTAGGATCGGATCACATGCAGAAAACGACAAGGGGCCGTCTCTGGATCAAATCTGGTCTAAGATCCATGGAGGGGGGAGTGGAGAGGAGCGGAGAGGGATGGGAAGGAGTGTGGATGGAGAGGAGGAGGAGGATGAGGGTGAATTGTCGTCTTCTAGTCGAGGGGGGTCCAGTGTGGGGGGGAGTGTGCGGAGTGGGAGGAGTGGGAGTGGGAGGGTGGGTAGTGTGAGTGGAGGTTCAGGTATCGAGAGAAACGGTAGCGATAGGAGCCTAAGGGAGCAGGCTGCAAGCCCGAGGGGGGAAGGAGTGGGGAGAGGAGGAGGTAGAGGAGGAGGAGGTGGAGGAGGAGGGAGGGGAGGTGGGGTGGGGGCAGCGAGGGGAGGGGGGGTTGGAATGGCAAGGGCAGGGCCAGGGGGGATGGAAAGGAGAGGAACGGGGGAGAGAGGAGGCAGAGGAGGAGTAGGAGCAGGTGGGAGAGGAGGAATGGAGAGGAGAGGGAGTGGGGACCCGATGGATCAAAGTAGGGAGTGGAATAACAGCCGGGAGTGGACGAGCACTCGAGAGGCATCAGGGAACGCCACCAGGGATACTGCTGACTCCCGGAATACCTCGGGTCCTAGAGAGGCTAGTAGTGGTTCTCGAGAGACTTCTAGTTCTCGAGAGACTACTAATTTGAGGGAGGCGTCTGGGTCTTCTAGAGATGTCTCTATTCCGCGCGACGGGCGGGACCTTGACCGGAGCAGGGAATGGAATAATAGTAGGGAGTGGAATAACAGCAGAGAGTGGGGCATGGCGAGGCAGGACACCAAGGAGAGGTCACGGCTGGGGGGAGGCGCAGGGAGAGGGGGAGGTGGGGGAGTGGGGGGAGCAGGGGGAGTGGGGGGAGCAGGGGGAGCGGGGGGAGGAGCCGGGGTTGCCCCTCCGAAGAGCATTTTACGGGTTTCCACGTCTGAAAGTTACTCACGGCAGAACTCACAGACAGGCACGAGCGCAGGTGGGCAGGAGCGCATAGCAGAGAGCCCCAGGCATGGGAGAATACCAAGACCTGATGGGAGAGGGGGAAAGCCTCCCCCGTCTGGGGGGAATGCGCCAGGGGGAGGGGCAGGGGCGCCAGGCGCGCGGACAGGGGGGACAGGGGCGGGCGGAGGGGGAGGGGGAGGGGGGGGCGTGGGGAGGGGAAATCCAGGAGGGTCGGGGCTAGGGAGAGGGGGCGGGGGGAGGGGAGGGGGTGGGGGGGAAGGTGTCGGGGAGGGTGGAGGTGAAGGGGTGGGTCGGGCGGCGGGAGGGGGAGGTGAGGGGAAGCAGAGTGAGAGCTATGGGGCAGGCAGGGGTGAGGGTTCTGGGCCCGGGAACCCCGCTCCTGTGAATGTATCTAAGGGTGGGCCTATGGGCACTCCTGGTAGTCTAAGGCGGGTCAACAGCAGCAGCCCCTACAGCGGCAGCAGTGGCAATGGCAGAAGCAGCAGTAGAAGCCCTTTGGCAGAACAGCGAGAGGGCGACGGGGCTTCCTCTGCGGCAGCAGCGGACAGCGGGCAGCAAAGATCTGGAGCGGACGGGCAGCAAAGAAAATCCTCGCCGGGGTCCCCGATGGAAGCCATGCGGTCGCTGACAGACAGCCGCCCGCGCACCAGCGGAGAACTATCCAACCGCATGGGCGGCGCTGCCGGGAAAATCCTGGGCCGCGGGGGGAGTGTCGGGGGAGGGGGAGGGGGAGGCGGAGGGGGAGCGGGAGGGGGAGGGGGGGTGCAGAGGGCGCAGTCTATGTCCCCCCTGTGGCGCAGCACGAGCATGGACCCGGGGTCGCTGAGTGCTGGGGGGGGAAGGCAGCCCCGGACGGGGTCGGAGCAGCGGGCGGCACAGGACATGCGCATGTGGATTGAGCGGGCCAGTAACCCCAAGATGGACGAATGGCTGTCGCAGGTGAGATGGACGAATGGCTGTCGCAGGTGAGATGGACGAATGGCTGTCGCAGGTGAGAAAAATTGACCTCCCTCCGCAGGTGAGTCAATACTTCCATTCTGCTTTCGACCATTTCCGTCTCATAGCCCCATATGTCGGTCTCTCAGCCCTGTATTTCATCCCTGCTGCTGCCCCTCCCATCCTTTCCCTCCAACGTTAGTAGCATTTGCACCACCACTCATTTGCACCAGCACTCATGTGCACCAGCACTCATGTGCACCAGCACTCATGTGCGCCAGCACTCATCTTCCTCGCACCTGTTGCTGCCCTTCCCCTCTCCCTTGCTTTTCCCTTCAGGTCGTCTCCAGCTCACCTCCGCCCGTCCCTCGTGTCGTCAAGAAATCCAGCAGCAGTGGCACCACCCCTCTGCACTCTGCCGACCGGCCCCCTTTACAGTCACACTCGCGCTCGCCGTCCCACTCACACGTGCCCTCCCCTTCCCAGCAGCAGCAGCAGCTGCAGCAGCAACAGCAGCAGCAGCGGAAGTCGCTTAGACGCATGCAGAGCTCTCCCTCCCTGTCCCCCATCACGAGCCCGACTGGGGAGGAGAGCGAGAATATGTTTCGAGAGGAGGGAGGGGGGGATGGGGAGGATGAGGAGGAGGAGGAGGAGAGTGAGGTGGTGAGGGGCAGCTGGAGGAGCGACAGGAGAGGGGCAGCAGATGTGATGACACACCAGAGCATGTATGATGAGGCTATGGAGCCGCTGAAGTGAGAGAGAGAAGGGGAAGGGAGGGAGAGGCATGGAACGGGAGGTGTGGTATAGGGAGGGACCGGCATGAATGCAAGCACAGAGGAGTGACAGGAGAGGGGCGGCCGATGTGATGACACACCAGAGCATGTATGATGAGGCCATGGAGCCGTTGAAATGATCGAGGGGGGGAGGACAGGATAGTGTATAAGGAAAGGGTAGAGGTGCGGAATGGGAGGTGTGTGGTGTAGGGAGGGATCAGGATGAAGGCATGTGATGACACACCAGAGCATGTATGATGAGGCCATGGAGCCGTTGAAGTGATGGAGGGAAGGTGGGAGAAGAGTGCAGAGAGAGGCGAGCGGTGTAGGGAAGGGAGAGCATGAAGGCACAGAGGAGTGGGAGGAGAGGGGCAGCAGATGTGATGACGCACCAGTAGGTGTCTGATGAGTCCATCCATGGAGCCACGTGAACTGAGACGGCTTTTTAGGCGCCTCAAAAATCGTACCAGTAGGTGTGTGATGAGTCTATGGAGCCACTGAGCCGCTGAATTGATGGAGGACAGAGGTGGAGAAGGGAAGGGGGGGGGGAAGGATGGAGAGGAGGGGCGCAGCGCTGGAGGTGTGCGGTAGGGAGGAGTCGGTATGCAGGCACACAGGAGTGATAGCGGCCAATGTATTGCCGCACCGGTGGAGCCGCTGAAATGATGGAGGACAGAGGTGGAGAAGGGAAGGGGGGGGGAGAAGGATGGAGAAGGGTGGGGGAGAAGGGAGGGACGAGGTGTGCAGAGTGGAAGGCGTGCTTTGAAGAGGGTGTCAAGAACAGAGGGGTCGCGAAGGGTATGATGGGGTGGGCGTTGAATGGTGCTGCTGAGAAATCCATGCAACACCGTGCTACTATGGAGAGGGACTCTTAAGTGGACTTGGAATTCTGTGACTGACGGAACGGCGGACACCGCGTCAGACGATCTGCGTGCATCAGAGCAGCTGATGCTTTTTATTGACTGGTGGTGCATTTATGATATGTTACGGTGGCACTGTGGGTGTACAGTAAGAAATTATAGCAGTAATGGTTGATGTTGAGGCGATGCAAAATGGGTGCAGCCTGGAGGGAGAGTGATGCGCCAATATGTGAGCAATGTTTTTGTATAGGGGCTTTGGTTGAAATGCGAAGGGTGGGCTTCAATGGCTCCCTTGGAGAGGGGGGGATACCGTAACGTAAAGTGGAGGTTTGAGGTCAGAAATAAGCCCCAAGCCCAGAGGGTGCGCTGTATCAAACAGTTAGCTCGCAGTGCTGATATTTGAGGTTAGAAATACTACGGTTGATTGGCTCATGAGGAAAACAGAAGATCACTAACAAGTCTAATGCATTTTGTTATAGGGCATGCTAGTTTGTAGCTCACTTACATTCGGATTGACATGTACAAAAACAGTGGCTTACTTACTGGCTATGCTATCTGGCGATCTGTGTGCAATGCCGCACTGGATTGCCGTGCGGAACGCAACAAAAAGCTCTCTGCCATAAATGTAAAACAACCTGAGATTCCTGAATCAGGGTGTTGGAACTTTTCAGCCCTTTGAATACCGTACCAGGATAGACACCATGAGTCTCTGAATTTCGAGGTAGAATTTGTTGGAAACAATTGATTTAAGCGCTTCTGTCGTGTCGAAACACCAAGACAGAACCGAAGCAGATCACATCGAAACATCAGCGAGTCAACCCTCGGAGGTTGAACAACTGCTGGAGGTTACGCGAAAGTCAAAGGTCAGCGACCTTTGACCTGACAAAGTACAGCGCAACAGCAAGGACAAACAACTGACTCGCTATTGAGCAGTTGCCCGAGTCGTCACTGTATCGAACCGCAACAGCAATGGTAAAACGGTTGTTAGTTATAACCTTTCATATTCCCTTGTATTCTTATAAAAGGATGTATCTCTTTGTTATTAATCAATCTACTTTGCCCTCACATACTAGCGCAAGGTGGTTCACAAGTCTTTACTTAACGCTTCCGCTATTACATCATTCTACCATGAATTTGTCCTGCAAAGATCCTAAGGGCTTTCTCAGCACAACATGGTATGAGAGCAGTCAGGGCAAACTCAACTACTATCAAGACACCTACAACATCACAAGACATGGCAACGCAAAAGGAGAGAAGCTCCTCTAACGGCTCTCCCGGTACTACTCCTTCTCCACCTCCTGCCTCTGGCCTACAGACAGAGGAGGGCACGGCAACAAGACCAAGGGCATCATCTTCGGAAACTCCCGCAAATCAAGCTGCGGCCTTCGACCAAGACATGATGGAGAAATTCTTCTCCTTCATGTCCTTCTACGAACAACACCAGCAAGGGGCACCTGCACAGTCAAACAACAGCAACAACAACAACGCAACGCCGATGAGTCTCGACGGATCATCCTACGCACGCGGAAATCAACAGCAACAGCCTACCTTTGCTCCGTACGAGCCCCAGCGTGGCTCCGTCAGCTTTATGCCACACCCGCAGCCTGCATCTGGACAAGAAAAGACACTGGACGCTCTTCAAGTTCAGTCGCAGTTCGCGCACGTCTTAAAACTGCAAACGACAAGGCCTTTCGATGGAAAGGATTTCTTTACCTGGTCATTCGAGTTCGAGTTAATGATGGAAGGCGCGCAGATCCTTGGCTTCTTCGACGGGTCCCTGCCATATCCAACACACGGCACACAGTACGACAAGCAGCAGTACACATATCAGTCAATGATGGCGTACACAATACTACTGAGAAACATCACTCCGAATCAGCAGCAGAATATACGGTCTTACCCGGGATACGGCAACTCTGCAGAGCTCGCGTACAACCACCTGAAGAACCTGTATCAAGCAACAGACAGCGTCAATCAAAGTCGGTTAATGGGGCAACTAACGACAGTCGAAATGAAACCAGGTGAAAAGGGGATGGCGTATATCAGCCGTTGTCGCGAATTGCGCGACAAACTTCTTCGATGCGGAGGGTCAATTTCAGAAGACGCCTTCGTCACAGTCATCATCGGCGGCCTCGGTCCTCAGTGGCGTTCCACCCGCGCCATACTCCGAGCGCACAGAAAAATATCAGAAGCAGCACTCTGCGCCGAGATCCACGCTGAGCAGCAAGATATGGACCTGCAAGAAGAACGACACAAAAGGAAGACATCAGTGCCCGAATTCGCATTCCATACTCAACGGCGCTACAACAACAACAATCGGCATCAACCAAAACCAGTACCTCCGTTCTGTCACCTTTGCAAGATGTCAGGGCATCCCCGCACACACTGCCCTAACCGACAACAGTCAGTACTAACGCAGCGGCAGTTTCGGCCTTCAAGCAGTCAAGTTGCCTCAACGCAAGCGAATTCGACCTCTCAAGTAACAGTCTCAACAACATCGACGGGACAACCTGCGCAAGGAACAAGAAACATCGTCAGTTGCATGACACGGCTGACCGATTCTTGTCAGAATATGTTGTTTGTGTAGCCTGCAGTGGGGTACTCTATAGTGAGTACAGCCCCTTAGGGTTTGCTATTTGTATCCTGCTGCTTGCTAGTTCAATCATTCCTTCTCAATTCTGTTCCTGCACACAATCCTAGCTCGTACTTGGCTCCTCGTTACTAGTCCTACTGTGGCCTAGGCTACTAAGCCTAGGCCGTACTCCTACTACTTCTGACAATTCTTGCATCACAGAGTCACCACCATATTACTCACCGGAAGAGCAACTCGACAACAGCACGTCTCGCCGCGAGTCACTTCAACCAAATCCGACGTATGCAGCCATCTCTCAAAGCGAGCCGTCAAGGATGATACGTGGTTCTTAGACAGTTGCTGCGGACAGCATATGTGCTCTTCAGGACGCTTTGTTCAACGTGAACACCAACTTCAACGCGAGGTCGTCATCACCGTCGCCAACAATCAGAACCTGCGCACACGACGACAAGGCGTAGTGCAACTTCAGTCACGAGAAACAAACGTCATACTACAGATGTCGAAGGTTTTAATAGCAGAAGGACTCGGTTACAACCTACTGAGCGTCAGCCAACTGATGGCGAAAGGCATACACCTCAAAGCAGACAGCACCACTCAAGAGTTTAAGTTATACCACGGCAAGGGCGGTCTCTACATTGGAAAGGCGGTCTTGAAAAAAAACGTATTCGTCCTCGACTTCGTCCCAGATCTTGGCACCGCTGATAGCGACGGGATCGTCACATTCACCTCCTGGACACATCCACCGGATCTCGACCCCGACTTCAGTCCAGAAGGCTTCTGGTACTCGCACACCATCCCTGAGGCAGAACGAACAAGAGCATTAGCAACAATTCAACACTCGGCAGCAGCAGAGACAACATCGACAACAGCAAACACAGCATCAGCAGCAACAGAAACAACAGCAGCAGCAGCAGCAGCAACATCGACGCCAATCGCTGGTCCTTCAACTACACCGGCTCAAATTGACGATACTCCACCGACTCCCGCGCAACAGCTTCACCCAAAATCACGAGAAGTACACCGTGTCGGAAACAAGAAGTGATTGAACTATGAAAGGTGGGAGTACAAGTATGAAACCCTAGAGTTGTGTACCCCCTAAAGGCTAACCCACTATAGCCTACACAGCAATAACATATAGATAATGTTTGACACACCCCCATAGGCAAAGTGGGAAGAGCAAGGGGTCACAAGACCAGTCAAGAAAGGCAAAGCAAGCTCAGGGTGGATCACAACGTCACCACACAATCTGAGCACAAGCAAAGGGCCACAGGGCCAGTTCAAATGCAGAGGCATATATACAACAAAAAACAGCAAGGTGATCTCAGCCTAACAAAGCAAGCAGGTACATATATATATAGAGATCACAGTACAGACAAAGCCTACAGTAAGTGAGGAACAGTGGGCACAAGCCCCAGTACAGTACAGAAGCGCTGATGATCACCAGGCTGAAGAGCCTTGGTGAATATATCAGCGGTGTTGGCCCGAGTGGCCACGTAACGCAGACAAAGCTGACCGCGCTGCTGCAGCTCTCGAGCCAAGAAGTAACGGAGAGCGATGTGCTTCGTTCTGTGCTCCAGTTTGTGCTCTTGACACAAGGCAATGGCAGCCTTGTTGTCGACGTACAGCACTGGAGGAGAACTAGGCCGCTCTCCCAAGTCGGTCAGCAGGTAGGTCAGCCAGCGTAACTCCTGTGCAGCCATGGCTGTGGCGTAGATCTCAGCCTCACAACTGGAGCTGAGAACTGAAGACGAGCGAGTAGAACGCCAAGAAACTGAACCAGAGCCAAGGCTGAAGGTGTAACCCTGTGACGACTGCTGAGTAGCCTGGTCGTCAACCCAAGAAGCGTCTGAGTGCCCAGTGAGAACAACTGAGCGCCTCCCTCCAAGCACGAGTCCCATGCCCGATGTACTGCACAAGTAGCGCAATACCCTCTTTGCAGCATCCCAGTGCACCTTTCGGTGCCTGCCAGGAGCCACATAACGGGCCAGAAGGCCAAGAGGGTATGCTAGGTCAGGACGAGTGCAAGTCATCAGGTACATGAGGCAACCAACTAGCTCTGGGTAAGGACCACTCGGCTCTACGGACTCATCCGAAGGCAGAGCTGAGAGCGAGTGACCTATAGCCAGAGGAGTGGCCTGTGCTGAGGACCAGGTGAAGCCGAAGCGCTGAAGGACCTGCTGCACCATGTGTGACTGAGTAAGTGTGATGGTGCGGCGTGCTCTGTCCCGGGTGATCCGCAAGCCAAGATAGCTTGTCAGCTCACCCAGGTCTGTGCACGTGTGTCTCTTCTGCAGCTCCGACTTCACGTGGGCGAGAGCCTCAGTGTCAGCAGTGGCAAAGACCGAGTCGTCGACGTACACGAGGATGTAGAACGGCGGCAGTGAAGTGTCAACGTGCAGCAGCACCCGAAGAGTGGTCATCT